CATAATGGCATTCGATTCTGGCCATCGAGTTCGTTTTAGTTTGGAGATTCATTACGGACGCCACGATTGATTTTTGGTTGCATATGTCTGGATGTATCTACAATTTTCGGAGGGCAAACAAAATAATAACAATACTAGTTGATCGGAAAATTCAGTTGAGAACACCCGCCGTGGACCTGATCAGAGCTTGGCTTCTGTCAATTTGGCAACGATCAGTCGCATCTCTTCGCCAAATTTTGTAGATTCGACGTTCCATTACGTACGGTAGTTTGGGACCTGTGTGCAATCGGCCCAAATGACTTGGCTTGGTTCACCAGCAATGTAAAGCGTCGGTCCGAGGAATAGGTATTAGGGCCGGCCCAAATGCACAAAACTTTGGTTCACCGGTAATGTTATCAACATGTTCTTAGGCCGATCGTATACAGGTGCTATCCAGGTGATTCGGGACCATCAAGTTTACCTCTCAACTTACAATGGGTGAAGCAGCGAGCTCGGTCATAAAGCTGAGAACACAATTTCCCATTTCGCGAACCCTGACGTGAACGGTTAATACTGTAGTTCATACGATGGCTGCGGGGCCTTTCTTTTCTGTTCTTTTCAAGAGTCTACCATGCGTCTCAATTCAAAACTGAGAGAGATGTCCGTCGGTTTTCGAAGTCCGCCAGAAGAACACGGGACTCAAATGATAAAAACCTGTGCAACCCTTGAGAAAGTCCGCGATCGGTCCGACACTGTCAGGAAAAAGAAGAAATTTGTCGTCGCTGGCATCGACGACACACTTGTTCGGATGCCCATCAATGGAGCCCTACTCTGGGTGAGCGGAGAGTCCGGGGTTGTGGTGGCTATGTCCTGCCACCGGAGGTTGGCTATTTCCTTTGGTACAATGTGGCGAGGAATGCCAAGCGTGACCTAGCGAACTCAGTCAAGCTAGGGTGGTGCGGAGAGAGGGCGAGCCTTCGTGGACCCATTTCCCCATTCTCCTAAAGATCCATCAACTCTTCGCAGCCGTTGGGAATCAGAAGAGTTGTGGACCCTCGGAGCACGGTAATCCATTATGACATATTCCCTCAGATCCTACTTTTTATGTACGTGTATCTGTGCCCCCTGAATCTCCATATCCTGACCTCCACATAGCCCACCTTTTGCTTCGCCGAAAACCCAGCTTGTTGAAGTTGGGTTTTGGTGCACATGCATGTTTGCATGATACTTGTGGTGGAGCAGGTATGGATGTATCATAGGATCCAGATACAGCTGTTCGAGAAAAATTAAATCTCTCCCTCACTATCCGAAGGCAGCTGACAGACAGCTGACAGTGCCGTGTGGAATACACACGTGTTGGAAGCAACACCGTACGGATTTACTCCCTCCAAGGCTCGTACAAGCTACCAGGTATTGATGTCAATCAATGATGTGTCAAAGCTTATCCTTGTAAAGTATCAAGAATTTGTACTTCGTGCGGGTTCTGGTTCGCGTGACCATACCGCTGGGTGTAAGCAATCGTGTTGCTTATGGAGTACGATAGGCATACGGTGTTCGACAGTCTTATGACTATTTTCATGACTCATGATTGTGTCATCAAGTTGCGACCCTCAATTCCACTTGAGACCGATTAACTTGACATTTCCTCGCCAGCACTTGACCCAACCAAGTGCTCGATAGCAACCTTATTGTTTGGATGCTATTCCTTTCACCGTTTAGTCTAGACACTTTGGAAATGCATCTTCTATTTACCTTCGGACTTCGGTTACTTTTCCGCTGAGTACTTTTCTTGTTCACACATTTTTCTGGCTTGGTACAACGTGTTTGGCCTTGCTTTGTGCTTTGTGCGTTTGTTTGTACTCGGATCCCCAACTTCGTCGCGTTTTCGTTTCGCTATTTTCTGCGGCACTTCGGACGATTTCTTGGCGGGCGCGATGTCCAGATCATGTTTCGATCGGTATGCGGAAATCATTTTGTGGCATGGCGGCACTTGGTCGGCACGATACATCAGATCTGATTCAGGACCGTATCCTTTCAGTGTTAGACGATATCGATCGTTGTGCGGACCTTGTCGGCCTTGACCGCTTCCATGCCCTACCACTTTCAATACGACGTATCTTTCAATTTTCGGTTGATTTTCGTCGTTTGCTGTCAGGGCAGGTACAAGAATTTGTCTCCGGAGAAAAAATTCAGCCAGTTTTCCAAACTGTGGTGCTGGTGGTTTTTCCCTTTTATGGTACTGTTATAGATGGGCAAGATCCACGGATATTTCTCGTGTTTTACTGACTCGCTTCACCCTATACACAACTGGCGACAGTTGTGAGCAGATGGTATACGGTCTTGGCCAAGGTAACTGCTTCAGATTTGGTCCATCTATTCCCTGGTGTGGTCGGCATACGAGCACTTGTTGACCAGGTTTAAAGACGGGGTACTGCGGTAACTTTTCGTTTTTTGCAGCTTGCTTCTGTGCACGTTCCGTGAGGTTACTTCGCGCTAGTTCGAAAGCAATTTGTAGATTTTTTCGTGACTTTTGAGCAAAACTCTCGATATCTGCAGTTGATCCTACATGTGGGATTCCGAGAATTACATCTGATTCTTTCTACCGGTAACCGTGCTTGACGACCAACATCAAGAATAACGGGGTCTCATGCATGGTTTTATCAAACACACGTACTATCCGCTAGTTGAACCCTTGGTAGGAGATCCGCCTAGTTGTCACAATTCATAGAGCTATGCATTGCGGGCATGGAATGCATCGTTGAATGCACACGCTCAGAGACCGAAGTACCTTGCGGATGATACGGCGTCGTGCGTGTTTTCTTGTTGCCCAGGATTGTTTGCGACTGATAGATTATGTTTTCCTCGAATTCAGTGCCTTGATCAGAGTGTAGCATTTCAGGCGGGCCAAAGATATTGATAATCCGGTCAATGATTACACGTGCCACGGTGTCAGCAGTTGGTGTGACAATTGCATGACGCGTAAAGTGGTCCATCATAGAACGCACATATTTATATCTCGCTTCGACTGCTGACATTGAGAATGATTTGTACTCGACTGCTCGACTAGGTCGACTGATATTCTTTCAAACGGTCGCTGTAAAGGTACGTACGTAACCCGTCGGCAGTTTCGAACTGCTGACATTGAGGAGAGTGATTTGTAGTCGACTAGGTCGACTGATCTCTTTCAAACGACCGCTGTACAGGTACGTAACCCGTCGGCAGTTTCGGGCGGCGGTGAGGTGTCTTTCTCCGTTGACAGGCCTGGCACTCTAGGCACCAAGTCCGGATGTCACGATTCATTGATTGCCACCAATATTTTTGGCGTCTTCTTTGGTACGTTGGACGAAATGCGAGGTGTCCACCTGAAAGAGCGTGATCATGGTATGCGTGCATCACTAAAACGGTGAGGTCATGTGGGACTACAAGTTGATCACTAAAAGTGCTTCGTTTTCGTAGGTGTCCTGGCACATACGATTTCAACACTAAACCGTCTGGTATGGCTTAGTACCACACTGAGGTTGGTTGCCGTTTCATTGTCTGGTAGCGGTGCTTTGGCGTCTAAAATGTATCGGACGTATTCGTCGTATTCTTCGGCTTGTTTCCCGCGCAATTTCTCATGATCAACAGATTAATATACTTTCGTGGCGCTGACGAAAATTGAATTGACTGTGAATAATTCTTGCAGCTTTGGATCGTCCGGTACATTTCGGCAAATCGGTGCAAGGTTCGGCGCAGTTCGTTCTTGTTCATTATCGAACACGAAAAGTCGCGATAACGTATCCGGCACTACATGAAACTTTCCCGGTTCATGTTTTACCGTGAAATCGAAGGATTGCAGTGCTATTGACCATCTAGTGAGCATATTTGACGTGTCTTGCATCGTATAAAGATATCGCAATGCCGCATCGACAGTTATGCACGTAAAATGTCTACCCCATAAATAAGGACGCCAGTGTTGATTAAATTGCTACAACAACAGCAAAGCATTCTTTCATGGTGGCAGAGTAGTGTTGCTGGCTTTTGTTGAATCGCAATCGCTGGCTAAAGTATGCTACTAAATTCACGTCATCGCCATTCTGTTGTGCCAGGAATGCTCCTGCTCCCACTTCAGATGCGTCTACGTGGATCACTAACTCTTTAGAGAAGTCCGGAAAAAGCAAAAAAGGAGGTTGGTGAGTAATCGTTTCACTTCGGCAAGTTCTTCATCATGTTTCGGACCCCAGCGTGTCGCTACCGACTTCACTACGTCTTTCTTCGTAAGGTCAACCATTGGCGCGGTGACGGCGGCGAAGTCTGGGATGAGTTCCTGATATAGTTGACCGTTCCTAGGACTGATCGCAAACTGTTGATGTTTGTTGGCGTTGGCAACTCTAGTTTCGATTTTATCCGATCTTCACCTAGACGTATGTCATCTGCGGAAATAATATGCCCCAAAAACTTCACTTCCTTTGGCCCAAATTGTACCTTTGATGCTTTTAATGTAAGACCTGCCGCTTGTAGCGCTTGAAAGGCATTTTCCAAACGAGAGATATGACCCTGCCATGTAGATCAACAACAAATAAGATCATCCATGTACACGAGAAGACCAGATTTTGGACCAAAATATGCGAAAGTCAATGCTATCGTACGTTGAAACAGAAAAGGCGCATTGGGGAAACCAAACGGGAGTCGTTTGAAAAACCATTTTCGGTCCCGAGTAACGAATGCAGTCTTGTCTTGTTCTGCTTCGGCAATTGGTATTTGGTGGTATGCACTTTGTACATCGCAGACTGTGATGTATTTTGCACCTGCTACTGCTGTGTCAACGTGACTTGCCATTTCAGGCATTGGCCACGATTAACGAATTACATTCTTGTTGATCGTCGCTCTGTAATCTACCCAGAATCGGGGACTGCCGTCAGCTTCTGCTACCAACGTTACTGCTGACCCCCATGGGTTCGCTCTTTGCTCGATTATCCCAGCTTCTTCCATTTCACCAACACATTTGTCAATAACCTCTTGCATTCGTGGATTTGCACGATATGGAGCTCTGTTGACTGGTTTTGTTCCTGGCTGCAATGGAAAATCAGCCTCTGTGAGAGTACATTTGCCCAGTTCTTTAGGACTCAGAGGGAGAATACTAAACGGTATTTGGTACACAGTTTAAGTACTTCTTCATACTGGTCGGGCAAATGAGTTGTATCTCTGAAGGCTTTGGCTTATGCCTTCTTGAGACCTGTACGGGTTTTTTCCGTTTCTTCAGGGCTCGCTTGAACGCTGCTCATTGTTTGTGGCAGTACTGTTTTCACTGGAGAAATATAGCCCATAAGTGAATTTCTCTTCAGGGATACCGGTTTGTGAGAAGGGTTGGCCAGTTGTGCCATTGCACTATTTTTGGCTGTGCTTATACCAGTGACAGACTGTACGTGCTACTATCACCCTACGGAATGCATCTGGTGTATCCTGCTTGCCAACGTCATCGGACGTAACGATGCGTGGTTGAACTACGTCAGGTGTGGTTTCATCTGGTGCCTCAAGCGAATGAATTTCGACGGCTATTTCATGTTGTGCAGGTATGCTGCATTTCCGTGTAGTGTGCACAGGCACTGCAGGCGTGTCCTTCTTTACTGGAACCACAGAACAGTTCATACTGTTTTCCTGATCGGTCGTGGAATAGCGCGTTTTGCGGTGGACTGCTGAAATTTTGGTGGTTGTTTTGAACGACAATTCTTCCGCTTGCCAATCAAGAACACCACCAAATGCGCCCATTATGCTATGGTCGAGTAGCATATGATCAGGTGCCAACGACGGCAGCACCAGAGCTTCAACAGGTAATGTGATTTCTCCTAGTGTCAGTTCAAATCGAGTGTACCCTGCAATTTTTAGGGGCGAACCATCGGCGCTGCGTAGATTGATTGCTCTCGAGGGTACTGGAAATACTTCCTTGCGTGTTTTCAACGTTGAGTGACTTCTCATGAACTTCCGTGAAATGCATGGTATGTCACACGCCGTGTCGATTATTATTTCATCAACCGATTCATTGTTTATTCTGGCGGGAACACGTACTCGCTTCGATGTCGATCGCAATACCGATCGACACACGGGATATCCAGCGAGTGCAGACACGTCAACAGCATGAAATTCTTCATTACGGTCAGTTCTCATTAGGCTAGACCTATGTTTCGACCTGAAGTCCCCAGCTACGGTAGCTACGTGCAAGGCTTGCGGCGCTAAACAGGCGGCTACTTGCCTTACCTGGGTGCTATCCCCTAGCGCTGGATCTACAGCGGCTACTGCATCAGTTGTGCGGGTACTTGACTTCGGGACTCCTGGCGTTTGCTTGCTGCTACAACAGTCGCGAGAATGTTCTCGTGGCATGTACTTCAACTAACTGTCTTTCACAGCGCTGCTCGTTGACTGCTTTTCTTGTTGTTCCCACCAGAGTTCGTACACCATTGTTACAGTGTTTTGATTCCCTCTCATCTACTCTGTCTGGCTCTCTTCTGCTTGCTCGTGCTTTGCAGTCTATCCCAGTTTGTACGTGCTGGTTTGACAGAATCACATGATGACTGGTGTCCCACGTTGGCCGAGGGATGCTGCCTACTCGGGCGACCCTAGTTTTTGTAACCGTGTACCCATCATTTTTGGCGGCCTCTTCGTTCTTTTTTGCACTCCGCGCGGTGTGCGTCAAGCGTACGTTACTAAATCGGCAACCAATAAAGTCACATTCCTTCCTAGGTTTGGCGGTGTCGGACTTGGCAGTACCAGCGAACGATACTTTCGCCTTCGCCAGCGCGGCAGGACCCCGGGATTTGGAATTATTCTTATCACGTTTGTCGGTCCCCCGCTGAGCACGCCGTTTTCGAAAAATGCAGTGAGAGCTTGGTTTAACGCGTGTTCATGAGGTGGTACATTCAGCGGAGCTGTGCGTTCAGCTTCGGCTAGAAGTCTGGCATACGCGCGTGATGCTCTAAGCGCAAACACGTCAATTGATTCTAATGTCATGACATTACGTGCAAGGAGAGCAATCCGGTTGGCAGGAGCGAACGACGTGGTGCAAGCCGTGACCCATTCCTTCCATGTTTTCGGAGGTGTGATTCGGACCACTCCCCCACTTGCACGCAACGCATTCAGCTTAGCTGGCGGTCGCCATTCGAGAGATGAGCTAAGCATGAGGCTGAGACTTTGGGCTGCGGCACCTCGCACGTAGAGCGCGAGATGTTTGATTGCGCGGTGGTGATCGATTTTGCTTTGAAAGACGTTGTCTGCAGACAAGAGACCGATGTGTGCCCTGTGAAGTTCAATTTTTTCCGGAACATCTTCGTGAGGCAGACCCTCGAGCTTGAGATCAGGAGGTAGGTCAGTAGCTTTCAAACTAAATCGCGCCGTGCTAATCACGTCCTGGTTTACCGTCCTTTGGGTTACCGGGGTAGGGTTGTCCTGGTTAACCATTGCTGGTTTACCTGGTTCGGTGCGGCCTGGTTTACCGTTTTATGGTGTACCAGGTTGATAGGTGAAATTGTCGGTGTAGACATATTCCTCTGTTTAACACTCGCTGCCGTGTGCATACCAGAGCCATTTTCTGCTTCTAGATCGGGGGAAAGAACGCGGATTCACCTTCTGGTTGTCTTGCTGGTGAGCGACTCCCGGCATAAGCATGCTAAGGACCCATGCCGGCGGGGCCTTCTCCGCCTCCACTGCCTTTGTGACCGCGCTGACGAGAACGGCCTCCAGCGGCCCGCCGCTTGCCAGTAGCGGTGCACTCTGCTGACTGGCGGAGTCGGCGCGGTGCAGGATGTCGTGTGCGAGGTCGTCGTCGACGTGGTCGTCATCGTCATCGTCATCGTCAGGGGGTGAGCCGGTGTCGAGGGTTTGGGTTCCAGCCTTGGCGCAGTCGCTAGCGCTGCTGTTGTTGTCTGGCCAGGTCGTGGAAATATCCGCGGTGGTGACTGCTCTGCGAGGGTGCTAAGGTCGCAGCCGCACCGACCGGCGGATTCCCCAGCTTGGGCAGGCTTCGGCTGTCCCTCTTGGGGGTTAGCCGAGCCGTGGTTGGTAGTGGCAGCAGCGTCGGGACGCGGCGTTGCTGGCGGTTTGGGCGTCAGCAGCTTTTCTTTTTTCTGCTGTTGCTGCTGCTGTTGCGACCCTCCGTCCTTTTCCTGCCCTTGCTTCTTCCTTGGATTGGAGCCCATGTTTCACACGTGGGTTGCAAAGATAGAACGCTTCGTCGAATGCCAATTTGGAGCCCTCTACTCTGGGTGAGCGGAGAGTCCGGGGTTGTGGTGGCTATGTCCTGCCACCGGAGGTTGGCTATTTCCTTTGGTACAATGTGGCGAGGAATGCCAAGCGTGACCTAGCGAACTCAGTCAAGCTAGGGTGGTGCGGGGAGAGGGCGAGCCTTCGTGGAACCATGTTCTTTCCCATTCTCCTAAAGATCCATTAAGTCTTCGCAGCCGTCGGGAGTCACAAGAGTTGTGGACCCTCGGAGAACAGTAATATGTTGTTGTTGTTGTTGTTGACTTCACATTAAACCGTATGCCAGTTGCTAAATGCCAAAATCTAGCAAAGACTCTCGGCCCGTGGTCACGAAAGTGCTGGAGCCATCTGAGGATCTAAAGAACACGCACACGTAGCAAGAATATATTTTCACATGTTCCCTCAGATCCTACTTTTATGTACGTACGTGTATCTGTGCTCCCTGAATCTATATCCTGACCGCCACATCAAGTTTGAATCCAAGAATCATGGAGGTGTGAGTCTATGCGGAAAGGGCTCGCCGATCTGCTCCCCCATGTTGACGTGGAGTTAGATGAGAGCGATAGGCGAACATATCTCGAGAAGGCCAAGCGCATTGTCTGTCCCGTGAACGGCGGGCTGGTGGACCCGCACCCGCTCGTTTTTGGCGAATCCAAAGGCGAGTTGCTCAAACGGATTCAATTTTCCAGCAGGGGCCCTAGGAAGAAAAAGCAAACCCACGGAACTCTTCTGTCGGAGATATGGGAGGCGACTCATTGACTGGTGGTGACAACTTCAGCTTTGTGAGGACAACAACAGCAGGATTCTTCGTCAATGCATGCGATTACCCCCTAGGGGCGCGATAAGTTTCGTTCCTGCTCGTCGCCCATTGTGTTTTGCGGGGACAGATGGAAGATGCGATAGTAATGAAGCTGCGTGCCGCAAGCTGGAAGGGTCGGGAGGAGAGGGGCAGCCATACTGGTATTTGTTTGCCCACTTCAAGATATCTGCAGCTATTTTCCACGTAGAGCGAACCAAGGAGATAGTCGCATCCTAGCATGCGACGGGCGCAAGCCGATGGGTCTGCGTATGCCCGTCTCCGTGTTTCTCAGCGCGTGCTCCCTACCCGTCTCGTTTTCATGTGCTGCTCTGCCTTGTGTGAGTTCTGCGGCGGGCACGGTCGCTCTTCGAACACGGGCGGAGCGAGGAAGTGCTGCGCTAACGCCGTCACAACCGCTAACGAACTTTACAGCGAGCACAAAGCCGCCCTGTGCCTGTTGAGTATTTCTACCCTGACACATGG